GCTGGGTTTCTTTACAGATGCTAAATAAGGGTTCCCCACAACATACAGGTGCGGAAAAGTCCCTCTGTTCCTCAGTTTCCCCGGTGTCCTCCAGCTGAACATCAATTTGTAACTTTGATATAATCAGATTCACTATTTTCCTTGCCACATTTTGTAGATTTAAGAAGTGTTGGGACCAGCAGATGGCATAATGGTTACGTCGCTGGACTCCCACGTAGTTGACCGCCGTTTGAGTCTCAGACCCGGCAGCTTAAAACTCACGCTGGGGCATGTGTGCGTGTGTGCCCAAGATCCCAAGAGCATAACAGAGAAGGGATGGAGGCATGGCCATCTCCTCGAGGGGAGAAGGGTGGTTTCTTGCCTTCTGTCTCTCTGCCTCTCTGTCTCTCCGTGCACACACCCCAGAGCATAACCTCTCTTATTAAAAAAAAAGAAGTGTTTTCCTCCCTCGGGGATCAAAGATACTCTCCTGCATTTCTTGTACTTCCTTCATCATTCTGCCTTTTCTATTCCGGTTTTTATCCTCCTCGACTCCGTCTCTGTCCAAGGGTTAGGGGTTCAGTAGTTTTCTCCATGTACTGAGCGGGGTTCCCAGCACCTCCCTAAACCACCCTCTCTCACCCTCCTAAGAGCCCTGTACTGAGTATCACGCTCTCTCACGGGTCGGCAGCTCAGCTTCTTGTTTACTCAGGCCAATTTTCTAATTTTATCCAAGACCATGCTGTTTGTACTATCCGGACTTTGTGCTATGTGCAGACCTGCACTTTCTACTCTTTTTAAAATACGTCGCTGGACTCCCACGTAGTTGACCGCCGTTTGAGTCTCAGACCCGGCAGCTTAAAACTCACGCTGGGGCATGTGTGCGTGTGTGCCCAAGATCCCAAGAGCATAACAGAGAAGGGATGGAGGCATGGCCATCTCCTCGAGGGGAGAAGGGTGGTTTCTTGCCTTCTGTCTCTCTGCCTCTCTGTCTCTCCGTGCACACACCCCAGAGCATAACCTCTCTTATTAAAAAAAAAGAAGTGTTTTCCTCCCTCGGGGATCAAAGATACTCTCCTGCATTTCTTGTACTTCCTTCATCATTCTGCCTTTTCTATTCCGGTTTTTATCCTCCTCGACTCCGTCTCTGTCCAAGGGTTAGGGGTTCAGTAGTTTTCTCCATGTACTGAGCGGGGTTCCCAGCACCTCCCTAAACCACCCTCTCTCACCCTCCTAAGAGCCCTGTACTGAGTATCACGCTCTCTCACGGGTCGGCAGCTCAGCTTCTTGTTTACTCAGGCCAATTTTCTAATTTTATCCAAGACCATGCTGTTTGTACTATCCGGACTTTGTGCTATGTGCAGACCTGCACTTTCTACTCTTTTTAAAACAACGCTTTGCTGGGATATCATTCACACACCGTAAATTCGTCCTCCCAATGCGTCTAATTCAGTGGTCGCTGCACATTTGCAGATTTGGGCAATGATCAGAACTACCTAATTTCAGAACGTTTCCATCTGAGGCTGGAGGGAAACGGTAGACAGTGTGGAGTCACATGAGCAGAGACAGCAGGTGTCGGCCAGGGGAGATGCGATGCTCCCATTTCTGGCCCGGGCAGACACCAGTCGGGCATGAGTTCTGGAGGCCGTACGCTGAGTGAGAGGCTGACAAGCCAGGCTGTTGTTTCCCCTCCTGGTCTACAGTCCACCCCAACTTTTGGTAAAGAGAGGGGTTTTTAAATTAATTTTATTCATTATCATCATCATTTATTTTTTTAAATTTGCTACAGGGCATGCACACTCACCAGAGAGAGACACAGGGGGAAGGAAAAGTGAGAAAGCAAGCCATCAGGTCTGGGATCCAAACTGCAGTCGATCACATGGGAGTTTAGCCCTGAACTGCCATGCCACCTGCTGGTCCCTTAGGAGAGATTTTTGTTGTAGAGTACACGTGCTCGCCGGAGAGACACAGAGAGAGAGAGACAGAAAGTGAGAAATCACCGCCCCCTCCAGGGGGGGATGACCACGCCACAATCCCTTCTCCTCCGTTCTCCTCTCTGGATGTTGGGCACACACACATGCCTGGTTTGAGTTTGAAGCTTCCAGGTCCAGGACTCAAACCACAGCTGGCCATGTGGGAGTCCAGCAACGTATCACTATGCCACCTGCTGGTCCCTACAGTCCCTTTCTTAAGACATCACTTTGGTTTTCCAACAACTGGGGTACATTCTTCCCCTGGTTTGGGGGTGAAGTATGATCCAAGCCTGGCCAATCGTATCACAAGGATGGGCTCAGCTGTGGGCAATGTTCCCAGTCTGAGTCAGGAGAGTCGACCCCAGACAGAGGGACCACCGGGAAAGAGACACCTTTCTGCCACCAGCATCGTCTGGCCAGGGCGCACAAGTCTGCAGCCACGGTCTTTGTGATCACGGGGGAGAGCGTGGCCGAGAAACCGCCTGGCCAGGAAGAAACCATAGTCAGAGACCAGCAGGTGGCATAATGGTTACCTTGCTGGACTCCAAGGTAGTGACTGCGGTTCGAGTCCCAGACCCGGTGGCTTAAACTCACACCAGGCATGTGTGCGTGCATGCATAGTCCCGAGAGGAAAATGGAGGAGAAGGGATTGCGGCGTGGCCATTTCCCCTAGGGGCTGATTTCTCGTTTTCTGTCTCTCTGGTGAGCCCATGTGCCCTAAGGCAAAAATCTCTCTCTAAAAAATAAAAAAGAAAGCAAAGTTAACAGAAAAGAGAAAAAGTCGAGTCCAGATCCCATTTTTGAGTTTCTGGATCACGCTGTGCCTGAGCTAGAGCTGTCAGTAGACTTCCCGGTTAAATGGTCCAATAAATGAGTTCACTTCCTTGGGCCAGTCAGTGGCATGGTGATTAAGGTGGCTGGATCCGACATGGCAGACCACATTATTTGAGTCCCGGACCCAGTGGCTCAGAGAACTAGCCAGGCATGTGTGTGTGCATGCCCAAAATCTTGAGAAGAGAATGAGGGAGAAAGGACTGCCCGTGTGACCACCCCTCTCAGGGTGATTTCTTTCTTTCTCTCTCTCCCTCTCCCTCTGTCTCAGGCAAGCACATGCTCCCTATAGCAAATTAAAAATAAATAAATAAACAAAAATCTGCTTTCGCATTAGACAACATAACTTGGATTTTATCACTTGCTATAGAAAGAATCTAAATCCGGGGCCAGCAAGTAGTGTGGTGGTTAAGGCGTTGGAATTCCCACATAGACAACTGTGGTTTGAGTCCTGAACCTGGCGGTTTGCTTTCTAACTCTCTTTCTCTCTCTCTCTCACTCTCTCTGTCTGTCTTTCTCTAGCAAAACTCATGTGAAAGAAATAATCCTTTTAAAAGAAAAGAAAGAAAGAAAGAATCTAAATCCTAAGCCAAACAAAGAGCCCAGAGAACAATACCCAGGGTAACCAGAGAACAATACCCATTGGCAAGCGATGTTGCCTGAACAGCAGCAGAAACTGGAGATGTTTATGAGTAGAAAGCAGAGAAAACAACGCTGAGGGACAGCCCTGAAGCTGTCAGAAAATGTCCCTAAGAGCTGCCGAGTAATCAAGAGGTTGGCTGGTCTGGGTGCCCTGAGAACAGGGCCAGGCCTCACATGAAAGTCACAGGGAGCTATAGTGTGTCTCAACACAGGGACAGCCACATAATTAGAGCTGGTTTACTGCAGACGGAGAGGGAGTGCCCTTTTCATGGACCCTGCAGGGGGAGAGGCTGGCCGGATCAAACATTAGGATCTTTCAACCTTGAGTATGTGAACAGCCCAAGGTCCCCCAAATAACTGAGCCTCGAATACAAAGAATATGGAACAGGTGAGTCTTCATTCTGAAGGGTCTACCGATTCCCTGTTCAGTGTCAGTCAGAACTCAGTGTTAGTTCTTGCCCTAATGTCAAGAAATCCCTCTCACATCCCTTCTCTCTCTCTCTAGATATATATTTTTCTATTTGCTGAAGGGCACATGCACTCAGCAAGGAGAGACACTGAGAGACACAGAGAGAGGGAGAGAGAGAAAGAGCCCCCAGTGGGCATGCTCACGCCTCAATTCCTTCTCCAGTTTCTACCCCGGTGGGATTCTGGGCAGGCACACGCATGTGCCCAGCAAGCTTCTCAAGCGACTGGGGCCAGGACCCGAGCTGCAGTGGGTCGTGTGGAATTCTGCCCCTGTAACCACTAGGCCACAGGGCCAGCCCAAACGTCCTCTCTTTTGCCCCTCCGTAAGTCACAGTGCCCCCTAGAACACGCCTATATAGCAGCGTAAGTCCAGGGAAGATAAACAAACCCAAAGGCTGCCTAAAATGAAATAGAAATGTAAACAACAAAGCCACAAGGCTCGCCGCAGACCCCCACCCCCATCCCCCAGAGACAGTCGTGCAGAGGCGGGGTGGGGGCCTTTGTTGACCAGCTCACAGCTCCATTCCCAACCCCGGCTGTCACCCCTGAGAAGCAGGTCAGGCAGGGATGGCAGAGGGCTGCCCTGCTGCTGAGTGCCCCCCTGTTTCCCTGAGAGTGTCTCACCGTCCTCACAGCAGCTGATCCCACACACAGGTTAAGATTGCGCCAGCGCCAGCAGGTGGAGTGGTGGTTGGGGCGCTGGACTCCCCTGTAGCCAACTACAGTTTGAGTCTCAGACCTGACAGCTTGCTTTCTCACTTTCCCTCTCTCTTTCTCTCTCTGGCCGAATTTAAAAGATTTATTTATTAATAATAATAATAATAAATAAAATTAAATAAATAATTCTAAAAAAGGCAAAACAAACATAAAGAGTTTGGGCCAGGTGGGCCAGCAGACAGGTAGTGGTTAAGGCACTGGATACCACATGGCTGACTCCATAGTTCACGCCCCGGACTTGACGGCTTGAAAAACACTCCAGGCATGTGTGCCTGCGTACCCAAAATCCCAAGAGGAAAATGGAGGAGAAGGGAGTGCAGCGTGGCCATCCCCCCTGGGGGTGGGGTGATTTCTCACTCTCCCTTTCTGTCTCTCTCTGTCTCTTTCTAGCAAGTACATGCGCCCTATGGCAAAGATCTCAAAATTAGAACAAAGATTGGACTAGGATTTGAATTGCAATTTTGAACCTGTCCAGCGTTCTATTTTCTAGAACACAAAGCTAATTGAGAAATGCCCAAATGTCTGAATCTGAGCTGTAATAAGGCACTGCTCTGAGACCAACACAAAGAACAGGACTCTCCGAAGTCACAGAAACCCTAGCCGGGGTTCCGAGAGAATCCAGCATTGGACTCTGGCTCCAGCCTGCCCGGCAGGTAGCAAGAGCAGCTGGCGTCTGCTTCGTACGTCAGAGCTTTTCTCCAGTCACACACCAATACTGCATGGTGGAGAGAAAAGGCCACTGTAGAGTGTGTGGCCCACACCTTTAATTACTAGCAGTGCTGTTTCCAAGTGTCACCACCAGGGGCGCTACATGTGCTATTCGTGGAGTGATGGTTGTGAGACAATGTGGGCCCATTCTAAGTTCACACAGGAAACAGGAAGAGACCCAGCCTGAGAGGCTTTGGAACTTTAGAGGACAAAGAGGAAAGAGAAGAAGGGACAAGTGTTCCAGAAGAGCCCCACCTCGACGACAGAGCCTTCAGGGCCACACAGCATGGGACCCAAGGAGTCACTGGATGTGGTACTCAGAAGGATCGCCAGGGACCTTGGCCTGAGCAGCTCCAAGACACGTGGCAAGTTCAAGGATTGCAAGGCTGACCAAGGAGGAGGCAGGACACGAGGGGGCACAGGGCAGAGCGAGCTCTCTGGGGTGGCGCTGAGAAGGTCACAGGAGAGGGGAGGCCCCTCACAGCAGGAGACGCTCCAGAAACAGAGGTATGGGGGACTCCTGGGGAGATGGCGTGGGGGCTACGTGTCCAGGTTGGATCTCTGGGTCAGGAGCTCCCAGGGCAGAGCAGTGTGGGGTCCATGGGAGTCCAGGATTTGTCCAGAAGATGCGGGGTGCAGTTTCATGGGGTATGCAAAGCAGGCAGACCGTACATGGTACCATCATGCCTAATCGAGGTGTGTTTAAAGCAACTGATGTGTGAGAGTTCCTGTGGGCCTTGGCTAACTGCCCCTAGCCTGCTGTGCGGAAGGACTCACACAGAACCTGACACGCGGGGGTCACATGCGTGTGCAGCAACTCGATGGGGTGAAGCTGGATCGCCACATGAGGGAAGACGGCGTGGCTGCTCCCAGAGGAGACTGGGCTGAGGGGGATTAGTTTGGACAAAGGGCTGTAGGAGCCAACAGGTGGTGTAGCCGTTAAGGCCCTGGACTCCCACGTGGCCGTCCGCAGTTCAAGTCCTGAACCTGGTGGACTGAAATGCATGATGGGTGTGTGCGTGTGTGTGCGTGTGTGTGCCCCAAATCCCAAGAGGAGAATGAAGGGTTGCGGCATGGCCATCCCCCTGGGGGTGATTTCTTGCTTTCTGTCTCTATGGTGAGCACATGTGCCCTATAGTAAAAATCTCTCTTAAAAAAAGAAAGAAAGAAAGAAAAAAGAGAGAGCGAGCGAGCTATAAGCAGACGGTTGGGTCAGAGTTGAAAAGACTGGGCATGAGAACGAGTGGGGATAATGGGCCGAGAAGAGCCCAGAGGATGAGCCGGGGAGCCGCACGCATCCTGTGAGTCGGGGGCGGGGGACAGGTTGCGCTGGGGGGGTTGCTCTAAGGGTGTGTCTGGGGGGTGCATGACCTGTCCCAGCATCCTCCACTGGCCCATTCTATGAGGAGACTTGAGAATGTCTGTGGAACACGGAACTAAAGTATGAGTTTATTTTGGTACAAAGATTGTTGAAATCTGCGCAGTTTCCCATTCCACACAGTCCCATGGGCTCTGCTGGCCCCTCTGGAGCCCTGCCCCAGCCGGAGCCGGGTGTGCACGTGCCTGCGTCCTTCAGCGTTTAAGGTTAATAAAAGTCTCTTCCCAGCTTTGAAGTGACGGGAGAGGCTGGCTCCAACATCTCGGCCTCAAAGGGACACTCATCACCTCCTTCCACCAAAGCAGCGCCCAGCGCTGGAGAGAACTGCTGGCCAATGGATACCATGAGACGGCCCCGAGAATAAGAAAACAAGGGGACAGACAGCCCTGTGCAACTCTTCCATCGACGCCAGCACGGGTGGATCTGGGAGTGACACCTTTGCCACCAACCGAAAAGCTCCCAACCCTGAGCCAGACCCTGAGCCAAACTGTCCCGAGCCACAGGTGTTAATCCGAAAGGGCTGGTCCACTGGGAGGGTGGGGGTGAAGAACGGCCACTGGGGTCACTGGGCTTTGTGGGGGGGAGGGGCCTGGGCTCGTGATGGCCAATCCTGCTGCCCCGAGGGCCAGTCCACCTGTGGAGGGAGGGCCAGGGTCTCCAAACATCCCACTCGCCCCTCAGGGTGCGCCAGCCTGGCTGAGATCAGCCAAGCCGTTCCATCAGAACCCTTGAAAGTGGGGCCCAGGTGTGGGCATTTGCACACTGGGTGATCCTGACGTGCAGCGCTGAGAACCCCGGACGGAGCTGTCCCACCGCCGATGTCGCGTCACCTCTCCGTCCTTGCTCCTGGGTCTGCTCAGTCAACCCAATAAAGCAGCTGCTTGTGCCTTAGCGCAAAGCCTGGTCAGTACCAAGCCGTCACTGAGACAGGGTCTGCCCTCCACGTGCTGCCAAAGTAGGCCGGCAAGACTGAGGGCCGGCCCTGGGTCCTGGTAAACGCATCGAGGTGACAAAATGTGGCTTCCAGAGAGGCCTCTTGAGTGAGGACACAGCTGGGTATCGCCTTGCTGGCCAAGAAAACTCAAACCTATTTCATCACTCCAGTGCTTTAGAGGTAACACGGGACCAGGAGGAGCAAAGCGTGAGGGTGGGACGGTGGGAGGCCGGCCCTCACGGGAAGGTCCCAGGTTCACATCCAGAGCCCTCCCTGAACCACCCCCACCCCCGTGCACACCTGTGCCCATAAGGCCTGGCAGAAGCTGGGGGCAGGTTGCCGTGTGGAGACCCTGTGGGGTGCTATCTTTCTCTCTCTCTCACTCATGGAAGAAAGAAACTTTTAACAGAGAGAAACAAAGTGGAGATTAGCAAAACAGGTGAGCACAGGCTTCCGAGAGCTAAGCTCTGAAGGAATGCCTCTCCTGTTTCGTGAGCCCTTTCCATTGAGCCGTGGATGTAGCTGACTGCCCAGCCGGCATCCACTCCCCCTTCTGCTCCCAGCAGAACCCCCTTTGCTTCAT